CTCCACTCCCACGGATGTGGCTTAGGATGCTGTTGATGCATGTGCAATGGTTGTTAATATCTTGATGATTCAGCTCTTGAGAAGTATGTTGCAATTTAATCATTTCAGTAATCTAGGGCACTACGAGAAGTCATGAAATATAGTCATCAAGTATGTTCTGCTTAATACATTTGCTAGGATTCCTGTGGTGATGCCAGCCCAGCTGTGTTAATCTTCCCTTTCTCTCTGACTTCACGTCCTCCAGGTTTTAATTACCTTAGCCAGTCTAATTTGTCAGAGAAATATGTGGGTCAGGTTTGCTGTTATGCTCCTACTTTCAGCCACATGAGAATCAGCAAACAGGGTAGATGAGAAACCCAAAGTGCTCCAGAGAGGGGAAGTCAGGTTGTGGCTGCTGAAGCCCTGATGCACTGCAGACCAGGGCTGGCGTTTGGCAGCCGAGCAGCACAGCCCTACCTAAGGCACCAGGCACTGCTACTTGAGTGGGTTTGGGCACTTACAGCTGTGTGACAGAACTGGAAGCATTACAAAGAGTGAAGGGAAGGAGCCAAGTTCATAAAAATGTGAAGTTTCCCAGTCTGATTGCTCCCAGAAACCTTTTAAGTTCCATAATGGAAGTTAAAATTTAATACTATGGAGCTAAACATGATTGAAGACAGACTTTTTGTCTGGTAGGAAACTGGTGATCTGTAATGAATGTTGTCTTTAGAGGTTTTCCTTATAAATGGCTCCTACTTGTTCCTGGTTTTGGACTCATTTCTAGAACATGTTTCCCACCCCCAACCACTTTTTAACCTAGAAATTTGTCTTTCTGTTTTTCATGTGATTGTAAATAATGTGTAAAAAGAAGAGTAAAGTGTCAGCATTACTCACTGTTACTAGTCCACTTCAGTTTGAGAGAACATACTCTTTTTGCCCACCTGGAGTTTGGTGACACACAACTTCTAAGAACTAGAAGTTTTTCTAGGACTGAAACAAACACCTTTCTCATTCCTCATAGATTAAAGGCTGAAAATTGGTCACATTATGATGGAAGAGTATTTTATATTCAGTTGTTGTTATATAAAGGCGCAACTGTTCTTTTCTGCATAATAGTACTCTTATTCTAATGCCCAAAATGTTAATGATTCTTTGAAGAGATTTTTTTTTATGGACTCTTTTTTATTTTTTCCATTTTTGTCTGTACAGTTGCTGGACCTGGAGATTGTAGTTGCATTTTATTAGATGCAGGCAGATTTAACAACAAGCACCGTCATGCTCAGAGAATTTGCATTCTTACCTCTGAGCTTGGCTCCGTTGCTGCTAGAGGGAAAGATTCAATAAGTAGTCTCAATTAATTTATACTTTTCCTGGGCTCTGGTGTGAATGATTGTGTTAATGGTAATTATTTCTGTGTACTTTGTAAGAAAGTACTGGGAGATTGTCAGGAGCAGTTCTGTTTAGGCACATATCCTTCACTGTGCAACTGATATTGTTTCTATATTTGTCAATAAATGTGACTTCTGTAAGATAGCATAAAGATGTCAAATTTTGTCCATATTTTTTCATTGGTTATTAAGAGAAAAAGTATAGCTTTTTCCTCGGGGCTGACGTCCCAAATCATCTGAATTAAAGAAAGACTGTATCATTCCTTGGCCATTAAAGACTGTATCATTCCTTGGCCATGGAAGCAGTAGGCAAATACAGCCTTGGGCTAGTTCTTCCCATAAGCTTTGTTTTCTATTTATATAGCACCTTTGCTTAAGTGAGCTTCTTTTTAGAGCCTGATTTAAATAATTAAGATAGATTATTAAATTACAGATACAGAGAAAAAAAACTAGCAGTCATTGTCACTGGGAAAGGCATTTTCAGTGTAATACATTTAAATTTCTCTTACTGACATGATACAAATCTTGACTATAATTCAGAAGCAAGTACAGTAAACAAATGACAGCACTACAAAGCTGTGTTGTGAAAGTAGGCTTTTTAACTGGCAGATATGTATATCTGCCTTGGAATGCTGGATATTCTGTGTTTCTTCTATTTTAGAATACTATTTCATCATAACATGACATCATAACATTAGGGCAAGATATTCATTACTGACTTGACCAATCATTGGCACAGAGCTAGATTCTTTAAATTCTAAACTTGTCTTAAATAACCTTGCAGCTTCATTTTCTGTTTCAATGTACTTCAGAATACAGTATTATTCCGAACTACTCTGTTCTTGATAATAAAATAACTTTGTGGCTTTGTTGCAGTCCAGTGCAGTTCCCTGTTACTGGCCAGCTATGTTGTCAGTAATGTAAATGGAGAATAGATTTAGTGATCTTTTGCAACACAGGCCAGCGTGAGCAGTTCTGTTCACCAGACACCACAACTGTCCTATTCTTTAGTTTCTGTCTATAATTTCTTCCAAAATCTGGACAGATTACAGCCAGTTTCACACCAGCCACAAATATTCTCTTTCACACCATATTTAAAGTAAGATTTGGGTTTTGTGCAATATTGACTCCTTCTCCAAGGTCTGCAGAAGGTCCCTTCTAAAGCTTCACTCCCTTGTTCTACACTGGGCACTTCACAGACAGTTCTCTTCCAAGCAAAACTCTGAGACCAATAACTAGTTGGAAAAGTTCCCAAATCAGTTTCTGTTGGGCAATGTAGTTCCAATGGATCTATGTAAGATCTGTGTAAGATTTAGGATGATTTCTCAATGTTTGCAAGATGTGCTGTTTTGGGAGGTTTGAAGGATATGAGAGCAACACAATTTGAGAGACTGAGCAATGCAAGTGGGACACTGGGTGAGACAGTGGCTCTTCCCTCTGACTGCCTGTGGCACTCTTGTTGCAGAGGTGGCTCTGCTATGTGCAGAGCAGTTGCTGGACTGAGCACGAATTGTAGGTTGCCATAAAATGCTTTTTCAGTGGACCACTGGGGGTTCAGAAGCAGCTGGCATGGACTGGAACTTTTCTAATAGTGATTGCTCAGGATTTGACCTCTTCGTCTCAAGAGTCACTTGGAGTATATGGATTTGTCTTGGGTAGATACATTGTAAGCTTTTTTTTCTTGCTCCATTTCCCTATGTAGTAAGTCACAGGTGACCTTCTAAAGCTGGCATTGTGGTGACAAAATCTGTGCCTAAGTCAAGCAAATTGTATGTACAGTTGAATTGTATGATGTTAAGAAACTCAAAGCAGGGAGGTGCCAGGCAGTGGTAGTTAGCAGCTTGTTTTTTCATGAAGATATCACCAAGGCTGTGGTTTGCTGCTGCTGTTCCCACATAACTTCGAAGGAATCTTATCATATTCTCGCAGTAACTTTTTGAAGTGTCAGTGGATCCTAATTAAAATTGTACTTCCCCAAAATGCTTACTCTGTTAACCAGACATCTTGTTTGAATTAAGCTGGAGCATATTATTGCATGGTTTGTTTGTGTTGACAGCACTTGATCCCCATTAATTTCTACTGTTCAACACTTCACTGATGGGAAATAAGAGGTAGCATTGTAGGCACATCAGAGTTTGGCTACAGCCAGAACATCAAAGAACCAGCATTTCCCAAGCATGTGCAAGTGCTGTGTTACCTAAAGGTCACTGCTTGTTCAAGCTTTGAAGTATGATACTATAGTGGCCTTTGGAGAAAACACAAACATTCTGTGGAAAGAATGGATATTTTTAAACTTGTATTATTAACTGTACTTCATGTAGGTAAAGTTAGGCATGTTATCACAGATGTGTGAGGTGGGTTTAAAGACCTAGGAGTGCTCTTTGCTTCTTGTAAGTGTAAGCATTGCCTGTCTGTGTGTCTGTCACTGCTGCTTTCTCATGTAGCTTGAGACTCTGCAGTAACATCGTCTGAAAAGGAACTTGTAAGAGGCATATGCTCATCTTTGTCTCTGAATTCAGTTTTATTCATCCATAGGCTGTTTAAGATTTCACATCTAAATCTACTCGACTTGCGTCTCTTACCACAAAACTTGTACTTCAGAAAGCTGATGATCCTGCAGTGTAAACTTTGGGATTTATTTTTTTCTTTGGTATGTAAAAATGCATCTTGTTTGGGGCAAAAGAGATGGAAGAGGGAGCACCATCATCAAGCCATGTCCTAAATTGGCATTATATTAAATTGCTTTAACTGGCAGTTCTTGGTTTGAAGTTAAATTTTAAGAGATTAAAGAACCTAGATTTGGACAGGTATAACTTGGCTATCATAGAATGGTTGAGGTTGGAAGGGATATGTGAAGCTATAAATATGCATGTGTGATGTTACAGTGTACATTAGGAGTCTGCATAAATTTCTTATGGAACACATTTTCTGTAAGATAATAATGCTCCATGTTTATTGTTAAGATCAGCTTGTCCCAAGTACTTGGTAAAGGATGTGTGTATGAGTCTATTAGGATTATATGTTGTTATTTCACATACACACACACACAAATGTAGTAGTGCAATTTGTGAACCCCCATGTGTATGTGTGCATAAGGAACTAAAGACACCAGATCTCATCTTTTCTCATTTGCTAGTAGCCTAAGGAATTTTCTCAAAGGAAAAGCATCCACAGCTCTTACTGGATATGAAGAACTTGTGCTGGGCACATGCAAGTAACACATTGTGACTGAAGGTACAGGAGATGGGTCTCATGCAAACTTGTATGTGTGTGTGTAGGTGTATTTTGCAACTTCTTTGTTTCCTTATTTTTTGCTCTATAGTTTTTGATGGCTCTTCCTTCTGGAAGCAAGCAGGAGCTGTAAGTGAGCATAGCTTATCTGGCTCAGTGTGAGAACCTGAAAATACCTCAGTCAGACACTAAATGAAGGGAGAATGTGAAATCAGTGCCCACTTGTGTTGCTGTTTTGTGATAGCCATGCTGAAAACACCAGGTTTACTCTGCAATTCATGTTTGCATGTCTAATATTTTAGATGAAACAAACATCCCTGTTATGTTTTTACATTATTTCTTGCATGAAACTTCGTTAGTATTGTTGAGACATCTGTTAAATTAAACTTTTGTTTTATTTAGGTATATGAGTTGGATGGCATTTCCTTGATTCTGGACAATTGCAGCATTGATGACAACAATCCTTGTATCCTTTATAAAATAATTCTGTTTATTGAATGTGACTCATGAGAAAAGGTATGGGGGATTTCATGGATTTATGCCAGCATTGCTTTCACAGGGTATCTAAATGTAACTGGCCTCATGAGCTTCTAGGTTATATTTAAATGGTTCAGAAGTGAGCAAGGGCACAAATATGCTTCCATGAACTGGATTCTAAGTAAGTTAACTATGGTTATATTCTATTTCCTAAACTAATAAATATTACTGGTTTGCAAGTGCCTATTCAAAGAGCTGTGACAGAAGTCCGAGTTCAGATTCTGGTCATTGTATCAGATTTTAGAGCTTTTGCTTCTACTGAAATCTGTTCTGGAAACGGAAATAAGTACCTCATCCATTCTCTACACTTGTTAAATTAGATTGGGGAGCTTTTTGTAAGCACAGAGACAAGGCTAGCAAGCTATTATGAAGGTGTGTATAGTTGAGAAAATCAATGATGCAAATTACTGAGATATTGGGGAGATTTTAGTATAAATGGCATTGTGCTTCATATTAGAAATTTCTTTTCCTGGAACTTAAGAGCAGGAACTTTTAAAAATAGATTGCTATTAGAGGGAAATAATCTTATATTGAAGAGAAGCAGTTATTAAGTAGAGATATCCATCTCTTCAAGTAATACAAGTGCGTTCAGTGACTAAGCTGTGATTTTCTGTTATCTAATCATTAGCTCCTTGTAACTTTCTGATAACTGCCTCTGGAAATCAAATGCCTTTCCTGTACAAACTCATGTCAGCTTTTTTATATGGAACACAGGAAATAGGTTTTCGAATTATTATAAAAGAAAAAGCACACGTGCAACAAACAAACAAAAAGAGCAGCGAAAATGTTTCATATTCTCTCTCAATTGTGTCCTGCAGAACATCATCTACATATAAATATATCCTAAAATAATGAAATAATGTAGATGATAGCACAATGTTAACAAGCTGGGTGGAGGAATAAGGGGTGGTAAGTATCCTGAGTTACTCCGTTTTATACTTTCTGTCCAGAAGTTTTACACCTTCAGTATTCCTGTGGTTTGAGACATGAGAGTGTGCCTCTTGACAATGCACTGAGTGGCAGAATTGTATTTCTATAGTCCAGATCTGGTAATGAGCACTGCTGGCTGTGGTAGGATGAACAGGGAAATTTACCTTTCCCTAAGTGGAAAAGCAGCCCTGAGAAAACCTATAAGGAGTTTTTGTCCCAAGTGACCTTCTTTGCTGGAAAGCACAGCTGTGCAACCACTTCTAGGCTAATCCTTCATTTTAGCTGTAGTAGAAGAGGATAAAGTTTGAGACTCTCAAAGGGTAGACTTGCAATTTATGATCTTGAATGAAAGGAAAATAAAATACCATGAGAATCTTTACTGTGTTTTGAACCAAGTGGAACTTCTTGCACCTTTTGATACAGGCTGACATTTTATGGCTATACCATAAACTTCTTACTAGAGGATAAAACTTTGTTTACTTGGTTTTTAAAAACATAATAAAACCTCTTAATGTGAGCTTTCACCAGTGATCCATAGTATTCAGTACCAGGGGATATGGAATAGTGAGTAGCACGTGGGCACAGGGAAGACTTGCCTGCTGTGACAGAGTTTGCTGCATCAAATTCTGCTGGAGTGCAGCTCCTGCCTATGGCTCTGTTTATTATTTTGACCTCTTTCTATTCCAGGTGCTCTTGTGCTACATGAAGGTAATGCTTCCCTGCTTCTCTCCCACCTCTAACATTCCTCATCTGCTGCCTTCCCAGCAGGTCATACACTGGGAAGCAGAGGAGAAGTTTGCAGTTTAGATCTGTCTCTACTTTCATCTGCTCTGCAGCATGTTCTGTTACTGCTGGACACCACAAAACAGGTCCTTAGTAGCATGTAGGGGACTGAATCCATTGCATAATGTTTCTGTGAAGAGATTTGACTGTTTCTTTGTGCTCTCTGTGTGCTCCAGTCCTGCCTGGCACAAATCCCAGAATGGGTAAGGCTGGAAGAGACTACAGAAGCTCATCTGCAGTTTTCCAAGGTGGGGTGGAAAGCTGCAAGAAGAAGCTCAGCACAGCTCTTCCTTCAGGAAGTCATATCCAGAAAGTTCATTTTACATTCTTGTTCCTAGTGCCTGTTTCTGTGGTTTCAGGCTGTGTTACTTGGATTTCTCCTTGGATAAAGCTGACTGGAAAAAGTTTCACCCAAAATCCTTTCATATAATAGCTTCTTAGATTTCTTAGTAAGTCTTGGTAGATGCAATGGATTTTTGTTGAATCTGTTTTGGAATCACCCAAGCTCTACAGTTAAGATGTCATTGTGTTTTCTCTGTTTTACTAGAAAAGTTCTGCCTCCAAATTACACGTACAAAATTTCTCACCAAAAAACGTAATTTTTGCAATAAAAGCTATAGGATATTTTTCCAGATGGAAAAAATATAATTTCCCTAAAGTGTGCAATTTATCAGGAGAAGCTGGACTTCCATGTTAGATGTTAAAGGAGCTCTTTATTACCTTTGAGAGAAAACATTCTTTGATAAATCTTTTTATTTGTAGCATATGGAAGTACACTGAAAGAGGAAATGGGTCTTCTCTTATCCTAAATTAAATTCCTTTGTAAACCTGTCATTACCTTAAAATTGCATCCTTTGAGATCCTGAACAGCTCTGTAATGTGAATAGAAATAGCAGGGAGTTTGTAGCTTATGAAGTTCAACTGACATGTTTACATTGCTTTAATTAATTGTTTCAATTCATCTTTTGGTCCCCAGTTTGGGAGAACTGTTGTGTAATTATATCTCAGACTTGTAACGTCTACATTTATTCTAGCAAACAATTTTTTTTTTTTTGCTTCAGGATATTTAATGAGTAAAAACAAACAAACCACCACTGTCATAGTTACAGACATGAAGATTATTATGGACAGTTAAAAACAAATTTACTGTACCTCTGCAGTTATTTGAATTGGTATTTAAATTTTCCAGCTACTACAACTTTGCATGTAAATTCAACAGAGAGATGCTGAGGGGTGCCAGATTTTCTGTGGCTCTTAGGCTTTCAGCACAGGACAAAAGATAAACAGAGTGAGACTGGGGAGATGCCGTTCATTAAGAGTTAAACTTCAAAGGAAGCTTAATACCACTTTTTCTATACCTGGTAAATCTTCCATGGATATGCTGTGTCCTAATCATAGCTGTCCTTCTGTTTCAAAGGGAAACAGAGTGTTTCAAAATGCAAGCAGAGTTATTTGCCTTTAGATTAAGGAGAGATTCTTGTATGAGCTAATCTTTTAGTTTTGAAAATTCAGTTTCTTGTTCTGCTTCTGAAAAGTGGGAACATTGTGCTTTACCTTTGTAACCTGTGCTGAAAAACAAATAAATTCAACCTGCTAAAGGACAGCAGAGTGAGTTAGAGATGCCTATCTGGGTAATACCAGTAAAAAATTTACTCCAAATCCTGCTTTTCAGGTTACTTGTGTTGAAAAGGTGTTCTAAATTCAAATATCTTTTATTTTGCTCTCTTGAATCATCATCTTCCTCATCTCTGACTGGCTCTATCATCAGACAAGAGCCCTTCCTTTTGTTCTTGCCTTTTACCTCATCCTAAGCTCTTCCTGCTCCTTCCAGCTTCATTTGTGCCCTTTCACAGGTTCCATTTCCTTAAGGTAAATATGAGGAGGGAGGTCAGCCCATTCTAATCAAAATACTTTTGACCCTAATCACTCAAAAAAGGTGCTTATGAGAGGCTTTAAATAAACTGACTTGTTTATTATTGAAGACTTTTCAGTTTACCTTAAATAAGCTGTTCAGTTTTTCACTGCTTCCTTCGTGTTCATGAGTAACAGACACAGATGTGCCTTTTTTTTGCTTTTCAGAGGCTGTCCATAGAAATATTAATTACTATTTTGGGGAAAAAAATATTATCCAGGGTACTGCAATATAATAGCTGTTAGGTGGTGGTAAAACTTGAAAGTCAGAAGTGACCTGTAGTTTTGAAGATGGAACATTGTTGTTTTCTCAGGCTGCTTGCCAAATTGAGATTCTTAAAGAAGGTGTCTCAATAAATTGATTTTATGAGTGTCTGGATTTAATCAGAATGACTTTAGTAAGTATCTATTTTACATAAACTGTCAATTAACACAGCTTTCTGTTAGCCAAGAAATCAACTGTACATGAAGAAAATATATCCTGCTGTGAGGATATATGTTTATATATATATGTGCACATATATACATATATATGCTATATATGTGAGTAAACACCTAGCAGGTTGTGTTTTAGGAGTAAGAATTTTCTGCATTTGTGAAAGGAAATGCTGTGGTTGATATGAATATCCATACACAGATCCCATAGTTTGAATAATGGATGAAAATGTAGAAAGAGTAAGTTAATTTTCAGATATTCCTTCCAAAGCTGCTTCTATTATATTCAGTCATCTGAGAGGTAGATTGAAAATACTTTTGACTTCATGGCAGCAGCAAGTATAATTGTGGTTCATGAATCTGGCTAAAGCTGGAGGAAATCAAGTTGCTATGGTCTACAACAATGGCAGTTTGTTATTGCAAGATGCCAGCAAGGACTTGTGGGGGAGCTGACAGACATTTCTATCTAAGTTCCAGACTGCAACCTTAAACAGGCCACATGCTGTAAAACAGCCTCACCACTGAATGGGAGCCAGTAGAAAGCAAAAATAGGAGAGTGAGTTGACTCTTTGGAGTGAGCCATCACAGAGTTGAATGTTTTCATGCGTGTGTGGCTATCCCATGTGTGTTGCCAAGAAAATTCAGCCCAATGTCACTTCAGCAATGATTGCCTTTTTTTTGGAAAGCTCATTTCAGGCACTGACAGTGCATTAAGTAGTTTGATGTGAGCTATTTGATTCTGTAGTTTCATAAGCATAAACAAAATCACATTATTATACGATCACTGTAAAGGATCCACAGAACTGATGAGAATTGTAATGGTCTCCTCCTGCCCAGTCAAGTTCTGCCCACTTGGACAGAACCTGGCCC